GCTAATCAGCCTAATTTTATCTTTCCACAATGAATACATGTATTAAAATATCACATGGTATCACCCATAATTATTTGTTAATTAAAAATAAAATAATTTAAAAAATAAAACAAAGCAACAATAAAAAAGAATTAACATAAAAGGGGCATTCAGTGGTTTTGTAGTCTTTGGAGAAAGCTTTGTAGAAAAGGCAGTACTTGGAAGATTTCTGTGTTTTATATAAATCAAGATAAAGAAATCCAAGTCTTAGCCCAAGGGCCCATCGATCCATGAATGGATCAATAAACTGTGGTATATGTACACCGTGGAATACCATGCAGCCCTAAAGAAAGATGGAGACTTTACCTCCTTCATGTTTACATGGATGGAACTGGAAAATGTTCTTCTTAGCAAAGTATCTCAAGAATGGAAGAAAAAGTATCCAATGTACACAGCCCTGTTACGAAACTAATTTATAGTTCTCAAATGAAAGCTACAACCTAATTCTAGCCCTAGAATATGGGGAGGAGGTAGGGGAGGGGAGGGGAGAAGGGTGGATGGGTGGAGGGAGGGTGATTAGAAAGATCACCTATATGGTCTGTCTAACAAGGGTATAAGTGAATTTTTCTAGAACTAGAGTATAAATGTTTTAACACAATAACTAAGTAAATGACACAAAGTCTATGTTAACCAGTTTGATGAAAATATTTCAACTTGTATATGAAAACACTACACTGTACCCCATGTTTGCATTAATGTACACAGCTATCACTTAGTAAAAAAAAGAAAAATAAAATATAATATTGTTTAAAAAAAAAAGGAAATCCAAGGCTTTTAGAATAGTATATGTAAAAGTGTTGAGCACTTTGAGTGCAGTATTTTTGTGTTGTCAGGGACGTTTACTGGGTAGCTACTCTTTGCATAGTGCTGTGTTAGAAACGAAGGGATTATACAAATAATACCCCTTTTAAGGAGTTTATGATTCAGTAAGAGAGAAAGAGCAGAACTGTTTTGCAATAACTTCAGTACCTACCATGCAATGATGAATAGGAAAACTGGTTATGGAAGTGGAGAGGAGCTTCACATATGTCAATTAATTCAGTCTATAATGATTTTTATTTCCTATGAAATGATTGAGTTGTAGTTTTTGTCATAGAGTTGTAGAAAATTTTATAAGTGATAATCTAAAAACATTCAACTTCTCTCATATGAGTGTGTGGTTGTTCATGTACTAGTTTCATATTAGTATTGGAATCTTGTTTTTTTCATTCTGTGATACTTTACTTAGGAGGATGTTTTCTAAATCCTTCCAGGTAAATTCCAAAGATGTAAAGTCTCCATCTATCTGTATGGCTAAATAGTGTGTCATGGTATAGCTATACCACAGTTTATTTACCCAGAGTGACAGGGGTGTGTGGTAAACTCTCATCTATCAGATACAAGGTAGGGGTGGGTATATGGCACTGTCCTGGGTGAAGGGCTCAACTGAAATTTGGACTTTATCTGACAATTGCAAAACAATATAAATTAACTGTATGTACTCTTATTTTAATCTGAAATAAAGATAACTAAACTTCTATCTGGATAATTTCTCTTCTAATTTCTTCATAGCTCCCTTTATATTATTTCAACAATTCAGTTTATTCATTGCCTATTTTTGGTCTTCTTGGAAGTTTTTTTTCTTCTTTATCTTGCTTAGATATCATAAACCAAACCAAACCAAGGGTATGGTTTGGGCTGATCTGAAAAGAACTAGCAGAGAACTCAAATTCCTTCTTCCCCTTTACTCTACCACCATTTCATTCCACACCCTGGTCTCATTCATTCTGGCTCAGAGGCAGAGTATTCCTGATTCCTTTTCACAGCCAATAATTCCACTTAAGCTCTTGACTGTCCATCACAAATACTTAGTTAAGTTCAATAGCAAATATAGACAGCAAGCTCTCTGAGTCTTGAAGTGGGTATAACAATAGTCGTTTGGTACCAGAGAAAACCAAAAAGGTTGTCAGGAGCTGAAAACCTCCTGGTTATTAGGTTGAAAGCCTTATCTTTAAATAAGAGGTTAGTGAATCTTCTTGAAAATGAAAAGTGACTAATATGGAATACCTACTACATGCCAGGCCCTGAATTAGGTGCAGTGCCTATCAGAAGAGTTGTAGGCAAAAAGAGAAATGCCCCTAGTTCTGCATTGTACAGAGATAGGTATATCTAAGAGATGAGACAGAGAAATAGTGTGGAGGGACAGATTCTGAGCATGGAAGTATGTGAACATGCCTGCCTGAGTGTCAAAAGGAATCAGTTTGAAGAAATCTTAACAGATTTAAAACTGTGAAAAGTTTTGACAGATGAATGTAAGCTCACAAGGATAAGACACAGAATAAGGGCACTCTGGACAAGGACAACACGAGCAGAGGCATGAATGAAAGGACAACATAAACCAGTTTGTTGGAAGACTACAAGAGAATTGGCATATTGGAGCTTTAAATGTCAGACTAGGTGCTGTCAGAGACGAAGCTGTGGGTTAAGTTACAAAGACCTTAAATTCCATGGAAAGGATAATGAAGTTAGATTTTAGCAGCATCAAGAGCCAGGCATTTCCAAATATTTTACAAATAAATAAACAAATCGTTCACCATCTCTAAAAATTTAACTCCTACAAAATTCCTTTCCTTCTTTAATATTTTGTTTAGTACTATTGGTTCCTTTTTGCAATCTAAAATACTCAAGTTTTACTCCAACTCAATGATGACAGCTTCCCACACTTTTATATAGATATTCTCGACACGCTTAGTTCAACCAGGATACATTGAACAGCTCTCTCATAATTGGCCTCTGTGCTTAGTGAGGGATATAAGACATAAACCCTGTTTCCCCTCAATTTCCTGACACATCTTTTATGAAGGACAGAAAAAAATTCTCTGATGAACAATCTGCCTTTGTTTATTGTTTCTTTACTTTTAGAAACAATCTGTATTCTTTCTCTAGTAACTCAGAATATCCTCCAAGTGATGTCATCAGTGACCTTCTAAATGTCAAGTCCAAAAATTTAATTTCAGGTTTGTTTTTCTCTCTGTCATCTGAAATTTTGGCAATGTTGACCTTCTCCTCTGTTAAATGTTATCCTTCATTAGCTTCAATGATGGTTATTCTTTTTTCCTTTTCCTGTTTGTCAATGTTTTTTTGTCTGTGTTATGTTTGGTGGGGTTCTAAATGATTCTGATTTTCTTCTAAGAAATTCCTTTTCTTTTCTTCCTCTCCATATGCTTTCCTTGAGATATAATACTTATTCCCATGGCTTTAAATAGCACTTATATCCCCAAATGACTCATAATTCTGCAATCTAATTATGGCATCTCCTGAGTTCTGTATTTTTGAAGTTAGCAGAATCTTTAAAGCTGTGGCAGAGTCTCTGGGCTTAACCTTGAAGTAGTAATGAAACGTGGAAATAGAGTCAGGCATTCAAATCTGTAATTTAGAAAAACGACTAGCACTAGTTTAAAGGAAAAAAAAATCAAAACTCTCTGCTTCCAGTGTCTAAAAAAAGTTTAATAAAATAGTTTATCTACCCCTGAGGGACCTCCCTACCCATATTCCCTCAGCCACTTTAACCTCAATATGAACCAACCAAATTCCTTTCCTCCTCCGTTCCAAACCTGGCTCTTCCTCCTCTGTTTCATTTATCAGAAAACGGCATCAAATTCTTAGTAATTCTATTTCATTGGAATTGCTCCCCCTAAAAGGTCTCCCTTTCTCTTATCCCCTACAAAAAAATAATCATTATTTTTCAGAGACTCTACTCCTGAAATGTCAAAGACCCGAGTGGACAACAGTAGGTCTGTACGAGAAGGCTAAATAATAACAATTTGGTAGCAGTGGATACTTCAAGCTGAATTTCATTGTACTTCCCTTATACTGAAAAAAATCCAATTTTTATATTAAAGACTAAAGGGAGACTAATGGATAATATTAGAGTTAAGCACCAAAATTCTCCCAGTCTACTTGTTTGTACTATCTTCACCTCAAATCTGTCTAACCCATCCTCTCTGATCTATTAGTACATGCACTTACATTTTTCTCTTGTGTGAAATGAGCTATAGTCAACTAATTTTCCTGTCCACTCAGCTCACAATGATGTTCTTCTTCCATTGTACTGTTAGGAGCTGTAGCTTGTGGCTGTCTTTAACTGCCAAATTAGACCATATAGCACCATCATCATTCTCCAACCTCTTGCCATAGGCAGGGATATCATGTGTGGCCAATCTGGGTTCAGATTCTTGCTCAAAAACTAAGTAGATTTGAGATTTCACACAGAAATATGAGAATACTCGTAACAATAGCTACCATTTGTTGGATACTTGTTCTGTGAACATTATTGTGATAAGTGCTTTATAAACATTCTTTTCATTCTTACTATTGCTCCGTGTGACAAATATTATTAGATTCCTTTTAAATTCACTTTTTTTTGTAAAGAAACTGAGTAACTGTGCATCAGAAGAGTTATGAAACGTGCCCAGGTTCACCCGACAACTGGTAAATGTCATAGCTGGGATTAACCCAGTTCTTTTTAATTCCTTTGCTCATGTTCTCAATAACTCTGGCTTCAATAAAATCTCCGAATAATGTGGACTTCCTTTGATCCAGTTTCCTCATTTATAAGATTAGATACATACTGTGTTAATATAATATTTGGCATGTAGTGGGTGGTCAAAATTTGTAAATTTTCCTTTTTTAGTAAGAATCACTGGACTTAGAAATGAGGTTCACTGATCATGATAAATATATTAGCGTGCTGATTAAACCATTTGACTGATAACAGGTTGTCAATTCCATACCAGGCAGAACAAAATGCACATTCTCTACATATTTCCCAAGAATAAATAATTCTACAAATTTTACCATCCTCAGCCCACCATCCCATTACCTAATCTAATTCTCATTGTGAGGAAATTCTTCCCTGTGGATAAGAAAGCACAAGTCATCAAGCGTTAAGCATTTTCACTGAACAAAACAATTTTACTTACTGAGCCCATACAGCGGTTCTGCGTGTCCTTCGCAGGCTGATTCAGAAGACTGAGAAGGCTTTAGATTCCAGGGGAGGGCCAAGCTTATAAAGGGACTTACTCCAGCCTTGTTGGAGACAAGCACAGAGCTAAGAGGCCAATTCCTGGTGGTGGTGCTAAATCACTGTGTCTCCAGGGTATGTGGAGGTTCCCAGAAGACTTCTTTTGCCTCATACCATCTTTTTATATTTGTTCCATTATGCAATTACTTATTGTGGCTATGTGTTTTATGGCTATGTCCTTTTTGTTTGGGTCCCATCTTATTGAAGAGCATTTTTATTTAATGGCTGTATTGAGATATAATTCACGTCCTATAAAATCCAACCATTTATGATGTATAATTCAATAGTATTTAGTAACATAACAGAGTTGTGCAAACACTATCATCACAATCTAATTTTTGAAAATTTTCAGCACCCGCGAAAGAAACCACATAACTATTAGCAGACACGCTGAAGAAGATTTTTTAAGAAAATGCAATGCTGTATCAAATATTGAGAGGAAGCTCCTGTTACAATTGTGAGTGACACCAGGACTCTTTAGCATTTGTCATTATTCACAGCAGCATGGTTTCACTAGCCTACCTGTGGTTCTTAGCAGCAGAAGCCTCTCTCTTACAACCAGGAAAAGTAATTTATTTATTCATCTGTTTGTATATCCAGTAAATATTTCACGAGAATTTCCTCTATTCCAAACACGGTGCTAAATGTTGGAGGTTGGGGGAGGGGGAGTCCAGGGTATAAAATAGATTAAGCAATAATTACTATACATGTAAGTCAATGATAAAGTTATCTTAGAGGCATGAGCTAAGAACTTGGTAAATGTAGTGGGTAAAAAGCTCAGCCCACAGCTTAGGTGTGCAGAACATACAATTTTATTTCTTTTTCATAATCTGATCTAGTTTTCTTTTGCACAGGCCACTAGGCAAAAGAAAATGATTCACAATAATTTGGAGTTCTGCTACTTATGTTCAAATTTTGACAATCTTGTATTATACTAAGACATTGGGGTAGGTGAATTGTGGATTTGGCTGGTGATGTCATCTGATGTGAGGCTGCGGTCACTCTTGTTAGTTTTTAGTAAATAGTACGCATGGCTTGCTATAGATCACTCATCTTCTCTATTTATGTTTTCTTAACGTCCTCAGATATTCACACCAGTTCTGGACCACTCTTGGGTATATGGGTCTTTGAGTCATCACTGATTTACGTCTTTTAAATCCTGCATCCAATTCAGTGGCAAATCTTGTTAATCTCTTTGAAAATATAACTAGAATTTGAATGTTCCTCATCATCTCCAGAAATGTCACCTCTATCGAAGTCAGAATTATCTCCCATTTAGATAGTAGTGTCTTAATCATACTCACTACTTCTTTTCTCCTCCTCCCACTAAGTCTGTTTTACCACTGAAAATGTCATGTCCTAAGATATTTTATTCTTCATACTGTAACAAAAACAATAAACACAACAATGAACAACATTTTATTGTGCATTCTATGCCCAAGATACTATGCCAAGCAGTTGTGGTAGGCAAAATAATGGTTACAAAAGGTGTCTACATTTTAATGCCTGGAACCTGTGAATATCTTACCTTCCATGACAAAAGAAACTTTCCAGATTTGATTAAAGTTAAAGACCTGCAGATAGGGAGATTAGCTGAGTTAGCTGGGTGGGTCCAGTCTTTTCACAGAAGTCCTTAAAAGTGAAGACCCAGGCAGACAGCAGAATTATTTGAACCACTATTGCTGGCTTTGAAGATGGCAGAAGGTGGCCACAAGCCAAGGAATGTGGGTAACCTCAAGAAGGAAAATAAAAAGAAAGAGTTTATTGTCCCTTAGACTTTTTATAAAGGAATGCCATTTTTGACTTATACAACTCTAAGATAGTATATTTGGTAGAAGAATCTATTATTAATGATTGATGCAGTTAATAAGGACTAAAGAGTTTAAGTAACTTACTTAGGTTTCTCATTTAATAAGTGGCACACCAGTATCTAAAGCTTGAGCTATTTGACACTCTTTGTTTCTAGAGTCTTCATCTGTTCATCCACCACTACTTCTATTTCAGGTCATCTAAATTTAAGAGCATGCCCCCTTGTTTATGTGGCAGAATGTATGTTAACAGGTTGTTATTTGTTTATGGTTATATTTTGCCAAAAAAAAAAATGTTTATCATTATGTCTCTTCTCAGTGAACTTCTTAAGACCTTTGAAACTTTTTCTCTATTAGGTCGAACAAATTCTTCTTCTTCTTTTTTTTTTTTTGGAGACAATGTCTCATTTTGTTGTCCTTGGTAGATTGCAGTGGTGTCACAGCTCATAGTAACCTCAAACTCTTGGGCTTAAGCAACTCTTTTGCTCACCCCCCCAAGTAGCTGGGACTATAGGCACCTGCCACAATGCCTGGCTATTTTTTTGTTGCAGTTGTCCTTGTTTTTTAGCAGGCCCAGGCTGTGTTCAAACCCTCCAGCTCTAGCCCTGGTATATGTGGCTGGCGCCCTACCCATTGAGCAATGGGCATGGAGCCTGGTTGGACAAATTCTAAATCTGTGATTGCTTTCCCATCAGACTCAAAAACTACTTGAGAATGATCACATTTTTTTTTTCTATTGCTGAAAGAATGTTACTCTTCTCTCAGACCAATGGGGCTGCTATGGTGGTATTATGTAAATGCCGTGCCAGAGATTAGTACATGCACATGGAACTGGTGTATGCACTGGTCAAAGTACACTAATACACAAACTGCTACATTTACTTCAAAATGTAAGCCTTCTTTCTGCACTACTCTCATGCTAGCCTAACAGAATGTAGCTGGCAATTTAATTAAACTGCCTGAAAGTCTGAGCACGATGTTCCTCCATAAAATTACATAGCAACATACCTTATTAATACGTCAATATAAACATCATTGACTCCCGGAAACATATTACAGTCTGTGACATCATTGGATTTCATATTAATGTTTCTGAAATTTGGTAATTCAAACAGGAAGGAAACAATTGGACACAAGAAAACTGTACTGTAGGAAGATGCAGTAAATCTCATTTATTGAATGTCAACATTTCACTACAGTAAACAATGAAATATTCTTGCCTATCAAATCAGCAAATATGTTTTAAAACTTAAAATACACAGTGTTGTGTTGCTGTGTTACAGGGGACTAAGTACTGTTTTACAATGTTTGTGTGAACTTTCTGGAAGTGGATTTTCCAGCATGTCATTGTCTTAAAACATCCATAATATTCTATTTCTAAAAGTTTATTGAAAGGAAAATATTAGCGATATAAGCCACATTTTATGTACGGGAAATTTTATTGCAGTATTAGTTTGCTATAGTTAAGATATAGCTAAAAGTTTTCAGTGATAAAGAATATATAAAGTATTTATATTTAGTTCTAGGATGTTGTGGAACCTTTAAATTTTCTGCATGTAGAAGGTCATGTGGCTAGTCATGCTGGATCAGGAAATAGGAAAGCAGGTTTCAGGGCTGAGAGTATTACAAGCAAACAGTGCAGGTTCTAAATAAACAGAGTTCAATACAAGAGCAAGAGGCCAGAAGCAAATCAGGTAATCCAAGTTTAATGTATCTGAATTGTATAATTAAACTTAAAAGCAAGCAAACAATAGTAACTGAAACAAAATAATTTTTGCATGCTATAGTTTGTATGTATCTCTCAAATTTCATGTTAGAAACCTAATACTGAAATTAATATGTTGATTGAAAGTGAGGCCTTTGGTAGGCAACTGGGATTATGTAAGATTATGAGATTAGGGTCCCCATGAGATAATTGGTGGCTTTATAAAAAGAAGAGAAGACATCTGGGCTGATACACATGCTCTTGCCCTCTTTCCTTATGGTGCCCCCTGCCATATTATGATACAGCATGATAGCCCGTGCCAAATGCTGGCACAATGCTTTTGGACTTCCCAATCTCCAGAACTCTGTGAGCTAAATAAACTTATTTTCTTTATAAATTGTTCAGTTTTTGGTATTCTGTAACAGCAACAGAAAGTGGACTAAGACAAAACATCAATGTTTTTCTGTATAGACTACTCTTTACAAAAAAATATTATGGCCTTATATTTTTTAAAATTAAATCATAGCTGTGTACATTAATGCAATCGTGGGGTATAATGTGCTGGTTTTACATGCCATTTGAAATATTTTCATCAAACTGGTTAACATAGCCTTCATCGCATTTTCTTAGTTATTGTGTTTAGACGTTTATACTCTACACACTGTGGGTGCGTTCCCACCAATTGCCCTCCCTCCACCCAGTCTTCCCCTCTCCTTTTGGAAAGATATTTTGAGATCACTCAGGGACCTAAAAATAGACCTGCCATTTGATCCTTCAATTCCTCTACTAGGTTTATATCCAGAAGACCAAAAATATGGTCCTATATTATCTACTGATCTTTCATGGTCTGATGAAAGCCTCATTCACCTCTTTTCCTGGATCCAGCCATGTTGAATTACTAGTAGTTTTCCTATCCTGTTGATTTGGCCAACACTGACCATTGAATTCTAGTGTATACAGCAATATAGCTCATCTTTCCCTCACCTTAAGAATTTCTTCTATCTGTTCTTATTATTGCTATTTTTCTTTTCCTTTCTGTTTCCACCATGCCTTGTACATGCTTACATTAAAGTTCTTAATCCATTTATCATTACAAAACCATTGTTTATACACTATATATCTGGCATTGAGCAAGATCCTGAGGATATAATAGTTATCACAATAGAAATCACCCCAGATAATGCAGAGTTTGAAGCCTAATGGGATACAAATAAGTACATGGGAAGCCAAAATATACTGTGGATAGGCTGTGCATAGTGGATCACACCTGTAATCCTAGCACTCTGGGAGGCTAAGATGGGAAGATTGAGCCTAGGAGTTTGAGACCAGCTTGAGCAACACAGTTAGACTCTGTTTCTGAAAAAAAAAAAAAATTAACCAGGCATGGTACCCCAGACCTGTAATGTTTGCTGCTCATGCGGCTGAGTTAGGAGGATCACTTAAGCCCAGGAATTTAAGGCTGCGGTGAGCTATACTTGTACTACTTTCCTCTAACCCTCTAGCCTGGGCAACAAAGCAAGATACTGTCTAAAAAAAGTAAAAATTAAAAACAAAAGTACTGTGTTATAATTACTCTAG